CTTCATCTATTCATCCAAGCGCCAACAGCGAGCTGACTCGTCCAAACAAGTCACCAGCCATCGCCACACACCCGAGTCTTTTGACGTCGAGACGACACCAACACACAAACGGCAAAACCGGCGTGGTGGTAGGACGAACTCGACAGACCGACGATTGTGCCGCTGGCTTCAGCCGACGGTTGAGGGGTGTCTGCTGTTTGAATACGCCGTAAAGCGAGCTTGTCCCGCAATGAGTCGGGCTACGAGGTAGACTAGTGTAATAATAATAATAAGTGTGAGGTGTATTGTGTTACCCGCCCATACGTGTATGTGCCTGAACTCTAATACCCATTCCCAGCTTGCATGAAATGCCCGGTCAGGTTGTACCTACTCAGCCTGTACCTGCTGAAGCCTCCTTTCGCATTCTTATCGTATTGTTTATGCCTCTCCCTCCGTGTTCCGTCCTCTTTGCCATTTCTGAACGTCTCCCGTTGCCCAGTGCTCCACCTTTAGCCTCAGCTCGTGACCTTGCTCTTCTTCGCTAGCCCCATAAATCACACTCTTGCCTGTGCCCATAGCGTAGTTCGCTAGCCAGTCCGCTGCTTTATTGTACTTCCGATAGTGGTGCTTCCATACTGTCACCTGCCCTTGGTCTACTAGCTTCCTGGCGATCCTGTACCGAGACTTCAGCCGCTTCGCTTTTGGCTCCTTGCGCCTCTGCATGAGCCCAAGGATCACTGCGCTGTCCCCCACCACCTGCTTTCCTCTCCAATTGCGCGCCACGGCTTCCGCCAACAATCTCTGCAGCCCCGTAAATTCCGCCACGTTGTTCGTCACGAATTTGCTGCTTAGGCATCCTGGGGCGTTCGTCTCTTCTCGTCCATTCAACGATCAAACTTCCGCTTCCTCCTGGCCCTGGATTCCCTCGTGACCCTCCATCAAAGAAGCCAAGTAGGACTGTTTCGTCTTGTCCGCATTCCCCGCTGTCGCCCCTGTGTGCGCCTGCCCATTTGCTTCTGATCCTCTCCGTCACCATGAGCTTCGCGTACGATGTCGTGGTTAAAGGGAACAAGCCTGTCTTATAGCGCAGTACCGTGTCTTGCAGGATTGTCGTCATGCGTCTTACCTCGCGCTCTACAGTCCGTCTTGCATTCTGGTCTGGGTAGACCTCTGACACCTCCCATCTCCACAATGCTGTGATAGTTGCCGCACATCCCATTGTCCAGAGTGTCGTAGCTACCTCGTGGATGGCGTCCCATTGATCTTCCTTTTCCTTGTTGCCCCAGTCGATTAGCCATTGAGGGACTTTGCTCATGCTTAAAGAGAAGATGTCTTGGGCCACCTCCTTGTTGGCTTCGCCATCCGCCGTCGTCGCGGCCATCCCCCATACTTCCAACCATTTGTCCCATAGTGCCCTGGCGTCAGGGCACTCCCACAACAAGTGTACCTGCCCATGCCTTGTGGCATTGGTGCATCTAGCTCCCGGACACTTGTACTTATTTTCTGTGCCCCTCCACAGCCTTAATCGCCACACCTTCATCCGTACTATGTTTTGCTTTTGGTACGCTGTCACGCCGTGCATCCGTTGCACTTGTTTCCATGTTAGTTTCTCGAAAGCCTTGCTCAGCACTTTGTTTTGCTTAGCCGCTTTGCTCTTCGTGTGCTCCTGTTCTTTTACTGCTTTGCTCTTGTCGTTCCGCCGTATGCCCTCTTTGTATTCTTTCCGCGTCCGTGTCCATCTTCTCTTCCCGGCCCATAGCGGTCTCATGTGTTAAAGCGGGGTGCGGCGTTATCCACACTGCTGCTTTCTGCGTATTTAGTAAGGTGGCTACGTTAGCAGGGTTGGTATTGTGTAGGCCCTCGTCCCCAGCTACATCAAACGCGTGATGGATGGCGGTCGTTACGCACGGCCATCGCTTGGATGAAGAGAAATGCGGGATACCAAGATTCACAAGGTAACGAGATCCTTGCGGCGGTGTCCTTCCTGCTCAGCAACTAGGAGGCGCGGCAGCACTTTTCTTCTTCGACGAGAACGATGTACTCTCAAAATGGATAACCTGCGATTGGACTGCATGATTCATTTTGCTATAAGATTTATAGAGTTCTTATACTAAAGACGCTTTTCGTTGACCATGCTGTCCAGAAAGGTCTGCTAGAGTGACAGGAAGTGCTCGGTTTTGGCAGAGCTGAACACACCGGAGCTGGCAATGACAGGGTGAATCTTTGTTCGAGGTATGAGTCGGCTCACCTGGCTTCGGTACTTGGCGAGTACTACCCGTTCTTACTGGACATGATACATCCATCCAGCTAAGACATTATGCGAAAAGAGTGCAATAACCGCAATATTTGACCACGTGGAGGTGAAACGTATTAACGTGACGTTGCGGATATTTCCCCTTATGTAGATGGAGCTGACCAAAAACGTTTTACTGTTTAGGCGCCGCCTTTGGCTCGAGGGCGTCCAAAATACTTGCGTCCAATGACTCACTGCATTTATTTAGAAATTGTGTAACGGGGTAAGTGTACCCTGGCTACATGAAGTGTGACACGTCACACTTCAGAAGTAATACACGTCACACTTCAGAAGTATGACACGTCATACTTCAGGATATTTGGTACAAAGTACCAAGGTCGTTCAAAGCCAACCATTGGTTAACGACATTGCATTTCTATAGGTGACTTATAGTTTGTATTAAACCCAAGCTTTATCTACCTATAAATATACTCAGTTTACATTCTACCTTAATTAGGTCACTTCGCTCTCTTTAGAATATTGTGAACTGCTGTTCACTGAAAGTTTGTATACTCTCGGAAGATAACTCCCTCTAGCGCAAGGTGCTGTGTGACCCGTCACACTTGGTAGCACTCGTAGTCAATCCACGCCACCGCGGGTAGACTACCTGAACCTCTCCGAAGTTCGTTGCCATGGATAGGAACGACTTCTCCCATATGAACGACTCTCAGGTCAAATCGGATCGGAAGATGGCAGGCATCTTCGGGATGGAGGCCCTGCAGAGCCTGGTGGTGACAACACCGGCTGAGCAGCACGAGCGCGTCAATGCGTTCGACGCGTACGAGCAGGGCCTCATCGCGCATGTGCGGGAGAGCCTGCAGGCTCCGGCGGCGATAGAAAATCCGCCTCACCCGAAGCCAATACGGCTGAAGGTTAAGCCGTATGAAGGGAAGGAAGGCGAGAACCTTCACTTCTGGGTCCGATAAGTAGAGATCGCGATGGATGCGGCTCTGATCTCGACCGAGCAACATCGTGTTGCTTTTGCACTCTCCAACCTTAGCGGTCGTGCTAAGAGTTGGGTGTACACACGGGAAGCAACGTCCCCTGGATGTTTCACATCCTGGGCTCAGCTGTGTGAACAGCTCCGAGCCGCGTTCCTCCCGGCGAGCTACGAGTACCGCCAGTGTTCGCGCTTCCTCTCGTGTAAACAAGGGAGGCGTGAACTGCACGAGTACGTGCAAGAGATACGGGAGCTCACGGCGTCCCTAGTGGGAAACCCACTCAATGAACACATCAAGATGACTGTGTTCATGGACGGCCTTCGAGTGGGCCCCGCACGCACTCAGCTGTTCCGGGTGCAGTCAAGCACCCTTGAAGAGGCGATTCAAGTGGCTCTCCAGGAAGAGTACAGCCATCGCCAGGCGCGTACGCCGGCCTCCGCGTCACCTGGAGAGCTCCTTGTCGGCCCCGGTCGAACAAGCCTCAACGGACC